ACATTTCCAACCCTGATCTTCATTACTCTACTATGGTCAACTGGAAATTGTTAGTATTTGCTTCTTTTATTTGTAGTATTTCATTTAAATTTACATTTAAAAATATATAGGAAATTGCATAGGCCGTAAGTGTACTACTTAATAAATAATGGCAAAGCGAGTACTGACTTAACTACCACCCAGGCCAATAGTTAGAATATTGTCAGCATTCCAGGAGCCCTTATGCGTCGCTTCCTGTTCTCAATCCCTGTCCGCAGAGCTAGAGGTGACCACTCTCTTGACTTTTATTATAATAATTTCCTTGCTTATGTGTGCATCTCTAAACAAAACTGTCTAGTTTAACTTGTTTTTGAAATTTATACAAATGAAACTATTTCATGTGTATTATTTTGTGCCTTGCTTATTTTCCTCAGTAACGTGAGTGAGAATTATCCAAAGCGTTGCATGAAGCTACCATTCATTTTCATTCTGTATAGTCTTTTGTATGAGTATACCACAATTCTTTTTGGTTCACTTTACTCATTTTTTCCTAGGGTGTTTCCTAAAAGTTTGCTGCTGTTACAAATTATTTGTTCTTGTTACATCATTCTTCTGTTTCTGTTTTAATTTTGATAATAAAAGTATCTTAAATCAGTATAGGTCTTTATAATATATACAGTGCCTTCCTATAGTATATTATCTAGTTGGTTCTCATTTCAGACCTGTGACACTAACAGTGTAGCATTGGATTTTATAACTGGTGATAGAGCTTGTTACTTCCACAAGATAAATTTCTAAAAATTAATGAAGTACTAACAACTCTCACAGATCTTTTATTTCAGAGTATAAATTCTAAACTTTATTCTGTTTCACACAAATTGAGCATGCTTAATACCCCAACTGAATTGAACTATTTCAGATTAAAAGTATATATATTTGCCTAAAGGTATGTTTCATTGTCCTGTTTTTCAAATCAAGGCTTTATTATTGTTTCTTTGGAAGTTGGCCTAAAAAACAATTTAAAAAATGTTTTTATTGACTTCAGAGAAAGGGAAGGAGAGGAAGAGAGAGCTGGAAACATCAGTGATGAGAGAGAATCATCAATCGGCTGCCTCCTGCACACCTCCTACTGGGAATCGAGCCCCCAACCTGGGCATGTGTGCCTTGATCAGAAATTGAACCTTGACCTCCTGGTTTATGGGTCAACACTCAACCACTGAGCCACACTGGGCGGGGCTAAAAACCCCCACAATTTATTAAATTGTGGGTAGGATGTTGGAACATAAATTCTTTAAATGATCGGCAACACAGCTGTTCACACTGGTATAAATACCTTCAGCATTTGATTTAGGTGCAGAAGGTGAGGAGAGAAAGCTGATGGTGGCAAGTATTTTTGACATGGGATACTAGCACTGCTACACTCTTTACTCATGCCAATGTATTTAAGTCAAGAGAGTGAGCTTTTTAATTCAAGGAAGCTCTGAATTAAGGAAGCTCCGTCATTAAGTGGCTTGATAACTCACTTCAAGCTTTTGTAAAATCTTATGTCTAAAATCTATGAGTGAAATACTCTCGGGTGAAGTAGACCAGTCTCAGTCCTTATTTATGTGTGGAATGTGCTGAGCTGTGTTTAAAGCCAAGTTCAGATGTTGATGTTGTTGCAAAGTAACACGCCTTTTGTTATCTTAAGATTTAAAAACTATCAAGTTTTCAATATGAATATGCTTTGAGCAACTTTCAGCTGAAGTGAAAGTAACTGTTTATTAGTGTCAGTGTTGATATTCTTTGTGCTCAATTCAGTACTTCTTAAAAGGTTTTATATGTAAATGTTTTTAAGTATATACACTTTTGAAGAAAAAATTCTAAAAAAAGTTTGTTTAGAAAAGCAAGAAGGTGGAAAATGTATTGGTTTGACACTCTAAGGCATGTCTGAAACATCTTAAGATTTATGTATTTACTTAATAAAACCAGTGGAGTTGCAGACATCCCCTTGGTTTGAATATACATTTCAACAGATCCAGGTAGAAATACTTGACTAAAGCTGTATATCCTTTCTGTCTCATCTATGAAAATAGAAGCACAAATTAACAGTCATTCTTACGCTAACCATTAAGAGGAAATATTGTGTCATTTTCATAGTACATGGAGGTAGGGAAATACTTATTTTAAAATTCTCAAAATAAGTAATAGCTTTACTCTAATTGGGAAGGAAATCTGAATTTGGGAAAATGGGGGCTCATACAGTATGTATGAATTATAAATTAGGAAGCCATTTATTAATTTTAAGTATTAAACAGAAGGAATGTATATTTTTAAAAAGAAAATGCACCTTCCAATGTAAAATTAATATTTGAAGGTGGTTTCTGGCAAAGATATAGATAGGAAATTGCCTAGCTTTATATGTAGGTGAGAAAATATGATGATGCATTAAATCAAACAGTACATTTAAACATCAGATTTCAAATACAGTAGATTTGGACACATTGGAGTAGCTCCATATCTGTCTGTGCTACAACGGTGATGAGTGTAAAGAATTTTCAGTTTCAAACAAAGGCATGTATATTCTCATAGAATTGGTCAAAGGAAATTTTTTTCCTCAGTGAATTCTTAATGGCCTAGGTCTTTGATTCAGGGTGGAATTAAACTTGTTAAGTAGCAACACTGAAATAATGTTTGTGATTTTAGCCCTTTGCCTTTACATTCTTGCTAGGGAGGAAATACATGAAGCGTACTGTTCTTTTAAGCTTATAAGCTTTCACAGTATTTACCCAATTCAGTAAAGCCAGTTTCAGGACTGCCACTTCCTTGTTTTGGAGTTTGGGTGAGATGAGGAGTGTTCATCCCTGCTTGAAAATAAGTATCCTAGGTTCTGAATTTTCACTATTACAAGAATATAAATTTTCTTCCTTCTGATTTTCCTACTTGAATATATGCTTAAAACTTAACATGTCACTTTTGTGTGAACATACGCTTAAAAACTTAACATGTCATTTTTGTGTAGTTTGAGGACTTGTCCTCCAGATGTTGTAGAATCAAGGTCCTAGATTCATGCTTTATTATTACCCATGTTCGTGACATTGAGCATATATGCATTTTTCTTCATTGAAGATCTTCATCTATACAAATAACTGTCGTTCCTGTCTTACCAAGTTTAGTAATGGTTTTCGGGAATGCAAAAGGGAGGAATTTTATTTCACTTAATGCTGAGGGTTCTGTCATCCTGTAATATGTATCTGTATTGAATTATAGTTGGCATATTCTTATAAATGAATTAGAGCTCTTTCACAAATTTATAAATATGTGATTGATAGTTTATCACTTGGGGCAAAAATGTTAACTTTGAATAATCAATACATCTTTGATCTTTTCATTTGAAGGATGGCTTTTTTTCCCTTCCTCTACCTCCTATCCCTTTTTTTAAAAAAAATATGTTTTTGTTGATTTCAGAGAGAGGAAGGGAGAAGGAGAGAAACATCAGTGCAGAGAGGGAATAATCAATTGGCTGCCTCCTGCACGCCCCCTACTGGGGATCATGCCTGAAACCCAGGCATGTGCCCTGACCAGGAATCAGGAATCGAACCTTCAAGTTCATGGGCTGACTCTCAACCACTGAGCAACACCAGCTGGGCTCCTACTCTATCTTTTAAAATTTGACATTCAGGATTCTTGCATTTTGTATACTTGTTGAACTCTTTCTCTCCGTTTACTCACTTCTCAACCCACTCTAATATTGCCATGAAACGACTGTAGCCAGACCACCAAGTGTCTGCAGGACATTCTAATGAATAATTCTCAGTCTTTGCTGTCTCTGTGGCAGTTAATACTTAAATAGGCTCCACTGACACTACATTAGCTGGTTTTCCTTCTCTTTCTGATGACACCAATCCTCCTTTGTAGACTTTTCTTTCTCTACTCATGTTTTAAATGCTGCTACTCCTTAGAGTCTCTTGGCTTCTCATGATAGTGCTTTCCCTAGAATTTGGCATTCATTGCTCTAATTATAATCTGATGATTCCAGGATTTCTTGGCTTCAGAGCTGTATGTCCAGCTGTGTACTGGACATCTTCACTTGATGTCTGCAGTAGCCTGCAGATGATATAAACCCACTTCAGGCTTAAGAGGGAAAACTATTGTTTTATAAAAATCAAACACCAGGTATACAGGTCAAACTGCTCTTAAGGATGACTGGAAATAGACTTCCTCCTCTCTTTTGTTGCTGCTTTTCGGCATTATAATCTCAGAACCATCTTCTGTGTGAAATTTGGAACATGGTTGGCTAACGTCAACCTTTAAGTCTACAACTTGTCAGTCAAGAAGAAAAGATAGGTTTGCTATGTCCAACTCCAGATAGAAGATTGCCTAGGATGCATTCTGATTGACGCAGCTTGGTTGGTCACCTCAGGATATAAACTCTTTTGACTGACATTCTGGTGATGGTGGGGGCAGGACCTAATGTGTTGGTTCAAAATGAAGTCTAACCCAACCCCTATTCATCTCTCATGTACAATTCTTCTTTCAGTGGAGAAGGTGATAATTTTGTTCATAATTATTGATGAGTTATAGCTTCTTGAATATCTAAAAAGACTTGATTGCTATGCCACTTACTATCTGGGTTGTCTCTTGAGGACAAAGGACTCAACTGAAGGAACCCATGTGAAAATGACCGGTATTTCTTTTTGGAATTAGAGACTATTGTTTGGTAATCATGGTGTTCGAATTAGTGATTTAAAAAAAGTTATTAGAATAATTTATACTTTTATAGTCATAAAATAGAATGCTCTATGAAGGCAAGGATTTTTGTCATCTTTCACTGCTATATCCCTAACACCTGATACTCAAAAGAGGCTTGAAAGGATTTGTTGAATGAATATCAGTTTATTAAAATCTTGATTTTTTTTTTTCCAGTGTTTACTTTTTGGGGAAATATTTATTCTTAATTTTATCACAGGTTTAAGAAATAAACAGCATCTAGGGATAAGTAAAGTAACCTGTTTTCTTCTACTTTTTCTTTTTTTTCCTAGACTACCTGAGTCAAGACAACATTTATATCTTCCTGGTGGTTCAGAAACGAGTCTCTGTAGAACCACAAGCAAAGAAAGGAAACATTCCGTCATCTTCTTAATTAAGTTGACTGTATAAGATACATGACTTCCAGGAACAAAAACACAGAGAAGTAATAAATATATTATTTTGACATCATTGGACATCCATCATACTAAGGAACGTGCTCTGTGAAGCTTCCTGAGTAGAGATTTGGAAACTTCCTTGGTGCTCATTTATACTTTGGACTATAAGCATGAGTGAATTCTGGTTGTGTTTCAACTGCTGTATTGCAGAACAGCCTCAGCCTGTAAGTATGAAGTAATATAAGCACAGATTGGGTGGGGTGCTTATGAAACACACCACTGGTACTCAAGCTGAGAATTGGGACCCTGGCAGTAATTGCAGGGCAGTTCCAAGGAATGTAACAGACTAGTTTAGTGGATCTCTGAACATCTGGTTTAAAAAAAAAAAAAAAGGATCCAGGCAATCAGGGTTCGATTCCTGGTCAGGGCATTGATCCCTAGTTGTGGGTATGCAGGAGGCAGCCGATCAATGACTCTCTCATTATTGATGTTTATATCTCTCTCTCCCTCTCTTTTCCTCTCTCTGAAATCAATAAAGATATATTTTTTTTTAAAAAAGGGAAGAAAGAAAAAAATTGTTTTTTGAGTAAATACTATATGTCAAGAACTGTGCTAGACCATTGTATGTGACTTAGAAGGTTGTGCTCTTTTACCAAGTAGATGACTTCCAGAGAAAAAGTGAGAGGAGATGGTAAAACAGCTAAGTCAGCCTTAGAAATCAGGGTACAAGATGTGACAGCCAGTTCAGATTGCACTCACATTATTTTCAGTTTACCATCTCAATTTCCTCACAGCAACACTCTGAGGAAGATACCATTATCATTATTTTTCAGTTGAAATAGATTCAGTTTTGGCTCATAGTCGTTTTAGAAAGTAAGTGGTCTTGGCTAACTTCTTTTTGGTACATGACTTACTTTTTTGTGCCTTCTGAACTATGCACATATTTGTTACCTCTACCAAAATCCTGTCCTGCATCCTCCAATTTTCTGTCACCTCTACAAAATCTTCCCTGGCTGTCTCCTGATTTAGCTAACATCATCTGTGTTCCCACTAGCTCTTTAGTTCACCTTTTTGTTAAGGCATGGAACTCCTAAATAATTGTTCTCCAGTCTCTCCCACCACGTTTTTAATTCTGTAGGGGCCCTGACCATATTTACTTTGTATCTAAAGGATCAAATCTAATAACTTGGAGAATCTATTACATGCTGGCTGGCTGGCTGGCTAGCCCACCGAATAAGTGAGTTTCTGTTTTATTGTTTTGTTTTGTTTGTAACAACATAAAAGGATGAATGAGGTATAACCTTAAGATCTTTTCTAAGCCTTTCCCTGGGCATGCGCAGTCACTTTCTAATTTTCCTCATATATGCAGTCGTTTTTGAATGTTCTAGCCTGGAATATCTAGCTCCCAAAAGGGTGAAACATGAAAAATGAAGGGTGAGAGGAGGAGAAGAATGGGTGCCTGGAAGTCACTCCAGCCAGAGGAGGAGTGGCCTGCAACAAACAGTGTGGGGAGGTGTTCCGACAATGGCTGCCTACCTCTTCTCTGTGATCAGAAGCAGAAATATTTGGAGGACCGGGTCCTTTTTGCCCACTCTGACTACCATAGCTGTGTGTGAGTTGCTCTAGGGACAGCAAGGGTTGGCTGATGGGTAACTGCTACCGTGCTAAGGGCTAACATTGACTGAAAATAACTGTGATTTACCTTCCAAGCCTTCTACTGGAAGTTGTAAGCCTTGAACAGACTCCAGAGTTCTAAAATTGTCACATCAGGCTGTTTCTGCCCCTGCTGTTGGTGGGGTGGTGATGCAGATTCCTGGTGCTACTTGTCCACCATCTTCTTTTACTACTTTTATAATTTTGGTCTTTCCATTTAGTGCTTTGATCTGTGAAGTATGGATGATTGGTTCATTTGTGTGGTATGAGGTGGGGGTTTATTCTTTCATGCTAATCATTTATCTAAAGACAGTTCATTAAATAGCCAATCTTTTTATTAGTAATTTGAAATGTCATCTTTGTATACTACGTTTTCATATATTTAAGAGTCCATTTCTGAAATATATTTTATTCTTTTGATACATGTGTTTGCACTTATGCCCTTACCATACTGTTTTCATTGCTGCTGTTAGTGTATTTTGCTGCTTCATAGAGGAGATCTCTTTCATAGATCTTCTTTTTCAACTGTATTGGTAATGTCTTCCTTCTACAGCTGGATTGTTATATGAGTCATTATTATTTTCTACATGTTTTTCTTTGAGATATTTCATAATGCATATTTTTATAGGTGTTTACTTTAGGATTGCATTAAATTTAGAATGTAACTGGGTGAGAATTGACATATTTAAAAATGAGTAATTTCATTGAAAAACATGGCATATGTCTTCATTTATATAGACCTTTTCATATTCTTTTAGTAAAGCTTAACATTTTCATTATGTAAGTTTTGCACATTTCTTGTTAGATTTGTTCTAGATATTTTATGGATTTTATATTACTATTCTGCATGAGATTCTGTTTGTCTGTTACATTTCCTAATTGGATTTTACTAATGTATAGGAAACTATTAATTTCATACAATAATTTTTTATGCAAACATCTTACTGAACACTTTATATTTTTTAAATATTTCCAGATAGTGGCATATTTTTAGCTTTTTTCTGATACATAAACCTTTGTGTTGTTGGTCTCTTACAGCATTTACTGAGACCTCAAGTAGTATGATGTTGAATAGTGTCATTGAGAGTTGAGTATCCTAGCATCTCCTGACTTTAAAGGGATAGAGATTGTAATTTACTTAAACATAAAATGAGTGTGTATTTTAGTGATTGTATGCTTACCTATACATTTAAGTTATTGTGTATAATTTATTATCTCTGATACTACCAAGGATTACATTTTCTACATTTTTAAAGATTATGGAATACTTAAGTTCTGTTGCCATAATGCTTTTAGTATGCCTTGTATTTTTTTTTTGAAGTTAGACATGATAATACTGGGTAAAAGGAACTGAGGTAAATAGGCCTTTATTATGAGGTTTTGTATTTATCTGGTTAGTGGTTAGGCCATACGGGTTGCTGTAGCTGTAGGTGTCAGAGGATAAAGTTTCCTTCAGTGTCCTTGTTTTTGTTTTTGGGTTTCCCTGGAGCCTTCTTAAATACTCCCCTGTTCTATAGGAGCCCTGTTCTATATTGATGTGGTGGTGGGGGGGGAAGGGGAAGCTTTATATACTGCTGTCTTAGGGAGCCTGTGCCCCTGGGCTGTGATGAGCACAAGTACTTCTCAGTTTTGTTTTGATTTTTACTCCTTAGTTCAAGCAAAAAGGCTAGAGGGGGCTGAGGCTGGGTATTTCTCTTTCCCTATGTGGAAGGCTAGTGTGGGCTAGAGTAGGATAATTCCCTAAAGCTGGTTAGTTTCTGGCGAAACCCCAGCCAATTAGGCTCTGGTAAAATACTTTCTCTTCAGGATGGGCTTTGTTAAGAACAGAATGCTCTGGCGTATTTAAAATGGCTACCATTCCCTGCTCTTTGCTCAAAGACACACGAGATTTTTCTCTGGTCTGTACTTTGAGAATGTGGTAGGGTTCCTGGAGGCAAAAATCACAGAAGTGTGGGGTCCCCCAAAGACTGGCCCCCCCGTGGAGTTTTTAACTCTCAAACTTGTCTATACTAATCCTCCAGCAGTTAATCAGTTACAGGTTAGGTTTTCCTACTCTGGTCCTAGATACCTCATGGTAATTTGTGATTTTCTGTATCTGCCTATCTCTACAGTTTTGGGGGCAGTGCTTCTCTCTGTGATCTCAGTTCTCGAATAGCTCTAAGAAGAGTTGTTGGTTTTTACTTTGTTCAACTTTTTCTGTTGTGTGGCTGGAAGTGACACTTTCCAAGCTCTTATATGCCAGACCGAAACCCAGAAATCATATTGCCATATTTTTTTAAGATTGATTACTTTATTGCTGGTATTCATGATGTACATAACAAAGTGAATTCTGTTCCAATATGTGATATAGGTATACTCATAAATAGCTAAAATAGACATAGATTAGAAATTTAAATGTCAGGAGCATACAACCTTGGAATTATAAATATGAGACATTGGAAATATATTTTCTGCTGCACAAAGGATATGCAACATGAATTTTTTGCACACATATAACATGTCAATATTGTGTTATTGTTTAATAATACATATTTGTGCTCGGCTGGGCGTGGCTCAGTGGTTGAGGGTTTGACCTGGGATCCAGGCAATCAGGATTCAATTGCCGATTAGGGCACATGTCCGGGTCGTGGGCTCGATCAATGACTCTCATCATTGATGTTTCTGTCTCTCCCCCTCTCCTTTCCTCTCTCTGAAATCAATAAAGATATTAAAAAAATAATAATACATATTTGTGTGAAATATTCCGCAGGAATTCCATTGGCACCTGATTTCTTAGGCTTTTGGACTTGCTGAGAAATATGACATAAAAATTGACAAGGCAGTGTGGTTACTATAGTGGAACAATAGCTTGTTTCTGGCACTTAATGCTTCACTGGCAATTATATGTATGTTTACAGTCTACAAAAACATATACTTGCTGCTCCATTAGGCAGTATCAAGAGTGCCTTATTCAAAAGCTGCTGGGTCATCTCTAAAGCTTTCTAAAGTATTTACTGAAATTAAGTGCCGCATGCCATCCCTCCCACTCGTTCCTTACCACCCCTGCTCTTCCACATTCTGTGTGAAAGAGGAACAACCCAGTATTGGGCAGAACATAGACTGTATTTTTCTGGGGAATGTATATAAAATGGAAGAGAGCTCTCTCAAGTGTGGTGCGCCTCCATAGGTACATTTTTAGGATGACTTCAGATGACAGCGGTTTTATTTCGAACTTCTGTGTTCAGGAATCACATTCCATATACCCTCAGTGAGGTGTGAATACAGTACAAATGTCATCTTTTTTCATTTTTCTGAAAACACAAATATGCATGGTCTTGATTTGTTGGATTTCACAGAAAATCACATATGACCACAGTCATCTCAAAACATGTAACAGATGAATTTACATAGATAACAGATGAATAGACATAGAAGATTACCCTTATCAGTTGAGAAATGAAAAATACCCCTACTTTTTAGAAAGGTATCGTAGAGGACTGACTCAAATGTTTTAACTGTATTGAAAAACTAGTAATTCCTAAGACTATTTTATACACTGGAACTGCCTGCCCTGCCTCAAGAGTGGCCACCG